CACACACACACACACACACACACACACACACACACACACACACACACCAGTTCAGTCCTGTGACTGCCGTCTTATTTATTACACTTCAGCAGGAAGTCTACTATATCAGTGTAAGTGTAAGCTACAGCATATCCACAACATAGTCGCCGCTTCAGTTTACCAAAGAGAAGCTCTTTCCGACGTTGGAACGAACCCTTTCCAAAGCCATCAGACTTCTTTGACAATCGGTCATTTCACCTCAGAACACAGGAGTTGCTACTCTACGGCTGCCTCGGTCCATTAGTGTGTTTGTTTTATTGTAGGACTGTGTTAAAGGGGTTGGGTCACACATTTGCCACGGAGGTTTTTACAATCTGTTCAACATACGCCATCCTCGGATACGGAAAAAATGTAAAAGATTTTAACGAGAAAAAAGGAAGAAATAAAGAGGGAAATAGATGTCATGTGTGCAGAATGAACAACATAATTGAACTACAACATAGTCGATCCATATGACAGAAATGATACATACGACGACAATAGTTCACAAAAGTCACACAATGACACAAACTAACTGAGTCAGCGGTAGACAAGCAGCTCCTATGTTCTGTGAAGCTAGATTACGTTGGAGTCGGGTGGCTTTGAGGAGCAATAACAGCTTCAGCTCCTCATCTGAACGGGCTGCCCGACATCAAGGTAAAGCGGAGAAATGTTTAGAAATAGAGCGCACACTTCAACTGCTTCTGTGCTGCTACTCTCGTCTGTTTCCTTAAACTGGGGGCATTCCAACCGCCGTCTCCCGTACGCAACACTCACTATTATGGAGCAAAATACAATTTCTGATCACATCCAATTAACGATTTGAATCGATTTATTTGTTCCTTAAAATAGAAACTAGGTCGATTCGTGATCCATACGTACGGATCCCCCCTCACGGTTCGGCACACATGTGAACCGTGTATTAATGATAGTTTAACATTAACCATCACAGTGTGAAACAACAATCTTTTATTTCCTTATTATTTGAATTGTGTTCTTCTATGGAAAAAAACACTAATATGACGAACTAAAAGTAAAAGGATAACATTTAGAATGTTTGATGGTTTACTCATTTCAGAGCTGTTGTAATGATTTTTTAGACGGTTAGAAAAACAAAAAGGTCTGGATCCTTGTAGAGCAGCTGCTATAATCAAACAATAAAGGGATCTGTATGTTTTAAACATCTTAATTAAGCTTGAATTAACTGATAAAAATGGATTTATCGCTCAGCTGTAGTATTTACATATAAGAACCTCATACAGCCACACCTAAAAAAAAGATCCAGACTATGCCTTTGCGTCTGACAGCATGAAATCAGACGCAGCTTGTTACAGTGTGTGCTCCCTCCTCATGATGGACAGAATGCTGAGCAGTGTCTCATGCAGGCTTCCGTACTTGAGTTTGAGGTCCCTGGTGAGCTCGTTCTGAGTCTGCTCCAGCTCCTGGCGCTCGTTGATGTGAGCCTCCTGGATGTCGTGGATTTCTGCCTTCACGGCCTGTAGCTTGGCGAACAGCTAGAAGACGGCGAGGGAGAGGAAGCCAGGGTTAACTTACCACGACAAAGGACTTTTTAGAATATTCCACCTTACAATTTGGCTTAGACACCTGCCTGATATCATGAGGAGTAATGGATTATCCAGATAGACAAAGAAAAGCAAATGTCTTCTTGCCTGATATTACCTGATGAAATAGTACCTTACCTACTTACTGAAGTACTGAACATCAGGCTTCTCAAAATAAAACAGACCCATGCTGTATTGATGCCTTCACAAATCATCAAATGCACATTTATGCTAGCAGTGTATTTGGATGCTCAGAATGTTTGAATTGATTAGAGGCGAAGACTGGGGACGTGTGCAGCAAACAGTGTCTTGTGCCAGAGGGAATGGATGATATGTGAGAGAGAGAGAGAGAGAGAGAGAGAGAGAGAGAGAGAGAGAGAGAGAGAGAGAGAGAGAGAGAGAGCGAGCGAGCGAGCGAGCGAGAGAGAGAGAGAGCGAGCGAGAGTAGCTGGCCCCACCCATGGGTGCATCTACTACCTTTTTCAGCTTCTTGGTTTTGATGTCAACCTCCTGCTGCAGAGAGCTGTAGGTCTCCTTCAGCTCCAGAGTCTCTTCATCACGACTGTCCATCTGCTGCTGCATCTCCCGCTCTCGCCGTTTCTGGAAACACAAGAAACGCACACATTCGTAAAGTCAAACCGTGTTGCTGTGTGTGTGTGTGTGTGATGAGGCTACGCAGACGTCGCAGATTGAAAGTGAGGTTGTTTTGCGAGTCAGTTGGGTAAGAGACGGTGTAAAGCTGGGAGCTCCAACGAGTAGCTAACCTTTGCCGAGTGGCTCGCTAAAGGTTCAAAGAACATGTAGGGACATTTTATCACACAAATTCACTTTGTAAAGCTGATTATATTTCTATCCAATCTAATTCACAGACATCGCTCCACCTTTTGACACGAAATGATTATTTGCCAATCAGCTGTCAATTATACGAATTACGCTGCTTTCATGTTTGGTTACATCAGCAATGTTAGAAGCGCACACCAGCAAGCGCACACCAGATTTGAAAATAGCCGGGCCCATTCGATCTCCACTTCACCAGAGACCACAGCGGCTGGTGGCACTCTACGAACAGAGAAGTTAAAGGAGATGACAACAACACTTACAAGAACACCGTCTCCGTTTACCAAACTGACGAAGAAGGCTGACGCGGCAACAGAGACTGAGTTTTGTGGGACTGTAATAGAGGCCATCACTGCGGTGGCTGAAATGTTATTAAATGACTGTAAAAGTATGACAACTTGTGTCTGCTACTGGCTCTCGGCAACTTTCACTTTAAACTACCAGCCTCTTTGTATAGTGGCTGATAGTTTGTATATGCTTGCAGCCACTTTAACAACTGATATAAGACTGTGTTGACCTGGGCCCTGTTCTCTGTGGGTGGACAACCGAGCTGGCTAGATTTTACTGTGGAAAAATTAACACAAGTCTGGATTTTTCAGTTCTGAGACGGATTACAATGTATCCACATCTGTTGTCCTAAAACCCAAACCTGCACCGTATCAACAGTCAGCTGGGTCATACACCCCTTCCCTCTCTCTCCCACCACAGGCTGTAGTTTGTAGTCGCTGTATATTTTGTCTTTCATGTGTCTTACTGTGCCCCTCCTTTTCCTTCTCATTTCCCATGAAGCTGATTTAATAACTCTCACTGCATTAATATGATTAGTGCCTGTCCTATTGTAAAACAGGTGGCTCTGGACTTCGAAAAAAAAAAAAAATCAAACCTGTTTGAAATCTGTTATAGCATCTGGGAAAGCTCACGACAAGATGAGGACACGTCTCCGAACCGCTGAAACTAGAGGACCCATCGTGAAGGGGAAAAGCATGAATTCCATGTTTTATATCTAAGAAATGTCTGCCTGGATCTGAGAGTTCATGTTGTAGCTGCTCTGGCGTCTGGTCCCCCCCTCCTTTTGACAGATTTCCAGCAAGCTGAGATCTGACGGGCCAATCGCAACTGTATATCTAATACGGGGCGTGTCTGAGACGATGACTAGAGGAGGGCCGTTGAGACATTTCCAAAGACAACCAAGATGGCTGCAGCTGATGAGGAACCTTCTGTTGAGGCTGCTGTCGTGCCAGTTCTGAACAAACTGGACGATTTATTTTTGCTAAATGAAGAACAATCAAGAAACATGTTAACCCTTTCAAAATCGAAAATTAACTGAGAAGTGTCAGACTAATTCGCATTTGTGAGTTACCGTCTCGTCTCAAACTCACAGACTTAGGCACTTAATGTGGAATCAACGCTCACAAGAGAAATAGATTACCAAAGTTGCCAGTGGGAGAAATGTGACCTCAGTCCCAAGTAAGAGGATTTTGTCCGTGACTACTAAACCAAGATGTGAACCGAACTGTGACTTTTACTGTGAGGCGACTGTGGCTCAGTGATAGAGCAGGGTCCTCCTTCAATCAGAGAATCGGACGTTCGATCCCCCGGTAGTCCAAGTTGACACTTAACCCCAAATTGATCCCGCAGGCTGTGCCTGCATTGTGCGAGTCCTGATGGGCAGGTGGCACCTTGCATGGTAGCCCCTTTAATCAGTGTATGAATGAGTGAATGACGACATGTAGTGTTAAAACTTTGAGTGGTCGTACCGTCACACCCCTATTCAAAACTATCCTGTCATCATTGATCAGATATTTGTTGCCTGAATGACTAATCAAGAGTAAAGCTCTTTTTTTCACGTTTGGCATACCTGTTCAGCGATTTCCTGCCTCCTCATCTCCAGCATTTTCTGTTGCTCGTTGGTGTGATCCACAATGTTCTTCCCCCCTACAAGGAGCTTACTCTCCATCGCCTGGATTGAGAAGAAAGAAAGAAGAATGAAACCACTTGAAGTCACGTTGGGGAGAAAAAGCATTTGCAACTGCTTGTGTGTGCGTTTGTTGACTCCAATGAAAGTAAATTTGAGCCTGCACTACACCTTCTCTTCAAATCAAAAATCAATCCGATGCATACTTGATGTACAGAAACACACCCAGTATGTGACAAAAATCTGCTTACCTTCACTTTGGCTGCGAGCATCTCTCCGGCCTCCCTCTCCTTCTTCAGATCTTCCATTTTCTTCTCTTTCTCTTTCAGCAGCAGAACTTTCTCCTCAGCCACCAGACTGTGATCCTCCATGATGGCCTTTCTCTCCCTCTCCAGCTTCTCCTGCTGCTCCCGCCAGTCCCCTTTGTCGTCCCCCTCTTCGTCGTCGTCCTCCGTCTCTCCGTCCTCCAGATCCTCACCATCACTCCCTTCCCCGGCCCTCTTCCTCTGCCTCCTCTTTTTCTTCTTTCCCGAGCGCTTTTCCAGCTGCTCCTTCAGCCTGGCGATCTCCTCCTGAAACTCCCTGAGCAGGGCGTCCTTGGGGTCCTCGTTGATGCGGGGTTTGTTCTTGATGTTTTTCGCCCTGTTGGAATAGCGCAGCGTTGTCAAGGTCTCCTCCACGTTGTAGGACGCCGGGCCGATGTTGGCGACCATGACCGTGCGGGCGTTGCCCCCCAGAGAGTCCTGCAGCAAGCGGGTGAGTTTGGAATCTCGGTAGGGGATGTGGCTGCTCCTGCCGTCCACCAGAGCCGATATGACGTTCCCCAGGGCCGAAAGGGACAGATTGATCTTTGTGGCTTCTTTAAGCCTCTCCCCCTGAGCACCAGTCTTGGTCTGCCGTTCACTGCCGGCTAAATCGACCAGGTTCAGTTTGCCAACTCTGATGTGGTTCTCCCCGTCGACATCCAGCTCGCTGCACTCCACGGTGATGACAAAGATGGCGTGAGACCGTGAGCTGTGCTCATTCATGTTCGTGGCGCCCACCGAGCGATTCTGGTTGCCCACGTTCATGACATGTTCGATCTCCCGCACGCTCTTGGTGACAAATGATGAAAGGTCCTTAACGTACACACCGGTGTCCGGCCTCTCCCTGAGCTCCAGACGACGCGTCTGGTCTTTGGAGAGCAAGTCTTTGATCTCCTCTTGGTAAATTTCTAGATACGAAGCTCTCACCAGGTACTGCTGATTCTGGGAGCGGGAAATGTGAGTGAAGATGTGCTCAAAGGAGTTAGGGATCACCCCCCTCCTCTCTATATCATTTCTCACCCCCTCCATAGTGTACGTTTTCCCTGTACCGGTCTGCCCATAGGCAAAAATGGTCCCGTTGAACCCAAGTAGAACTGAATCCACCAGGGGCCTGAAGGTTTCATCGTACAAATCTATTTGTTTGGAGTTCCAGTCGTAGACCGAATCAAAGGTGAAGACTTTGGGGTGGTCACTGGACGAGGCCTCCTTGGGGTTCCTGACCAGAATTTGGCCCAATTTGACATCGACGGCTACCACCCTTCCAAACTTGGCGTCCCGCTCTTTTTCATTCATTGGGCGACATCGGACCACCACCTTGACCGTCTCGGAGCTCTTGCTCTTGGACATGTTGCAGAGCAGCTGCCAGCCCACGCGGCTCGGCACTTGTATGCTCTGTCCTCCAAGTGCAGCTTTAGGAACAGTCCACCAACACAAGGGCCCACATCAGAAACTGTTGGAGAAGACACATTCAGTGATTGGTACCAACCTGCAACAGCAATCGTCATGGTGACTGACACCTTGATGGTTAATACATCACACAGTTTTACTTATAAAGTAAAGTCTCATTTAAACTCAATGTAATACAACGCTATTGACAGACTTTGCCTATGACATAGCTAGCTAGCCGGACTCTGACATCTGTGCCTCAGTTCCATACTCCCTGGTATTTACAACTTGTACTTGGAAACACTAACATCGGATTTTTCCAGATGTCAAAAAACACAAAACGACGTGCCTGAGCGCTAATTATGTTAAATGTAGTAGGTTCAAATGAACAACCTCTTCAACGCGCTACTTGCCAACGGTGAGGAGGCGAAAATGACGTTACCGTTACACGTTGTTCTAGCTAACGTTACTATAGCTGTTAAGCTAGCTTCAACTAACTACAGTTAGCTAAATGAAGCCTGTTAATAACAGGCAACTATAAACTTATTCACTTCGACAGTCAACGTTGGAATTCCAGGAAATTAAGCGACAACCGTTGTGGGTACTATGTCAGCGGTGTCGTGTTGATGAACCGTGGTTTTATATCTGCTCAATTCATGTTAGCATTCAAGAGTCTTCAAAGTAGCGGCTCAGCTAACCAACGTCAGCCTCTGCAGAATGCAGCCCATAACGAGCCCACAAGACCGGCCTAGCAACGACAAACACTGGGTAACCGAAGCTACAAGTCTGGTAGCATTACCTGGCTAACGCTAGCAGCGAGCTCATAAATCAATATCAATATATAACATATCGCTATTGAAAAATAAAAATCACATTGACGTTGGACGCAGAAAACCCATGCAATATAAACACATATGTCCACCTGGCACACATAATTGTCGTTAAAGATTTACCGGTGGCGAACATTAGCTAATCCAAAACTCCCAGTCAGCCGTTAGCCGCTGCTCATCCCCACAACGGTTCCGGTTACTGAGTTGCCAGATTCAAGCCCCGTATCCCTCTTCCCAAAATGTACGGGTGAAAATACATTAACACGTATAAAAGGTGCGCTTCTGAGTGAGCGTACGTACGTATTACGGTTAAGCGGTTACTCCAGTCGCAATAATACGCAAAACTTAAACTGTGAATAACGAGGTGGCGAGCCCAAACACATGCACTATGAAGAATACACATGCAAGGGGTCCTGTATATCTGGCAACCAAGCCCCAACAAGCCTCTCCCACATAGCTTAATATATCAGCTGATTCAACTGTACTCACAGCTGAGCTTCAGTCAGGGAGGTAAACAGGCGGTTGGTTATTTAAAAATGAGTGTGTATCACTTTATTGGTGAAAAACATTATAGAAATCATTCAAATTAAAAGTTAGTGCATTCACTGCTTTCACACAGAAGAACACAATTAGATTGCCAAACATCCCCACTTGCATTTAAACAAGTCAGCCTGTGCAAATCAACTCATTTTGTCTCCCCAAAAACATCCCTGAAACATTCATTCACGGAATAACAATACTCTCCCCTCAACATTCAGTACAGGGCTCCACACATTTTCATCAGTTTCTTTGGTCCTGATAAATTGGGAGGTGGAGAGACGGTCTCCTTTTTCCTCCCTATAATTAGTATGTGCAGGAGGATCAGTTTACTGTGCTCTCCTCGGAATGCAGGACAGAGGAAAAGAAAGAGTGAGCTGGAAAAAGCAAGGAGGGTTGGAAACGTAGGGGAGAGAAAGAGAAGAAGGCAAAAGAGCGAGGGAGAACATGATCGCTGCCTCTTTTCCAGGGTTCACCGGGGGTCAACATGTCGGGATTGCAAAACACGGTTGCAGCCGCAGAGTGTGGCGGCAGCTAATGGAGATGGGATTGGGAAAGGTTTTGTATCCGTGACGGAAAGAAAGAAACTGGCTTCAGTATAGTGAACACGAGCAGGTGAAAGTCAAGTCTTGGAAACACATTAGGATGGGATTTTTAAAGCAGGGAACAGACAAAAATAAAGTGTCCATGTCACAGCATCATATTTCATAAGCCCTTCCTCCTTCCTCATGGATTAAAACCCATATTCTAAAATTGGACAGGCCTTCACGGACCATCACGTCACGTATAAATATTCTCTCGTGACGGCACTTCGGCGTTAGCGTCCAGAAGGCGTCACCCTCGTGTTCAGAGTTCTTCTCTGGGATTGGATATCCCGGGCTTGTCCATGCCAAAGAAGGAGGACGGGAGGCCGCGGACGTCCCGCTCTCTCTTCACGAAGGCGGAGAAGGAGGAGACGCAGTTGCCGATGAAGTGGTCGGCCCGGCCCAAGATGTACAGGTCCATTTGGGCCGAGTCTGGCTCAAGGATCACCACTTTCACCTAAAAAGCCAGGATGAAATAAACAGGTGAACAACCAGTGGGGGAAATAAAACATTGATTTCTGAATTCTTGACAATTCTTTAAAAATGCTCGGTGGGGAGAGAAACACTTTCCTGGCAGTAAAATATGAATTTCTGACATTGCGTTTACAGGAAGGGGATTCTGGCTTCGGCTCTTATGGGTTAACACACGTTAACCCTTCAAATGCATCTGTAAAGTATCTCAAGAATTTCCCAATTGTGACAGAACCCATTTTTCCAAATTGTGCTACAGCAGGCAAGCCAGTCAAAATGTAGCTAGCCAGTTCAGGTTGCATTTAAGGTCATGACAGGAACGAACAGGGGCAGAATGTAAAGCAAAGGTCCCTCATGACACACTCGTGACTGCATCACAGAGGCTTTACAAACCCACCTTGCCCTTCAGGAGCTTTTCAATTTCACTGCTGTGGGATTCGGAGTCGGTGGCGATGTAGACGGAGCGGGCCGAGGTCCTCCTCGCCCACAGCTTGACAGCCCTGCTGATCTCCCCCAGGTCAGGGAGGCACATGGTCTTGGTGAGGGGCAAGGCGGTCTGGCGGTTGTAGCCAACGCACTGCGGAGAGGCCATGAAGTGAGGCCCTACTTCGCTGCTCTTCAGCATCTTGCAGGCATTTTGCTGTGCATGTGGAATGACGAGAACATTATTTAGATGACGAATAGGAATAAAGACTTTTGTTTTCTGTCGTTTTATTTAGTTTTCCGCTCTCCTTCTCCGACCCTGGCTTGGTGAGCACATCCATGATGGTACGCATGATAGTCTCTATTTAACCAAGGCCGGTGCGTTCCTATTTTATTCTGGTCGGTGTTTACATCCCACCTCAGGCCTGTGTATGCAACCAGTGTGCGAAATATGGGAGGTTTCCGACACATCAGACCCCCTGAAAGCATCAATAGCTAAACTTCGGTGGGTCTCTAAAATCATAACAGTTATTTGTCACTTCCAATTGTCACTAAGATGTATTTTAAAAGCGTACTAATGCGCAGCAGCTTTCATCATTCAAACTGCAAAAGCATTTCTTCACAAATATGAACAGTGAGAGCGAGAGACCCCCCCACCAAATGTGGATTCATCCGCCGCGGAAAATAGTCCCCAACAAATGCACCATTTCCTGCTGACTGAGAGACGTTCGATTAACAACTACGGCGACCAGCTGTTTGAGGAAAAGACTTTCCCACAAATTAAACTATGCATCGGTGAGGTGAACCAATGAGGTCGGAGCAGAAAGATACAGACAGGGCGGAGACAGTCATACCAAGTATTGAGAGACCGACAAACACGTTTGTAGGGTTAGATTCTTTCATTGGATTGGTCGACATTAAGAAACACATCCTTGGTGGTGTTTGTTTAGGTGCAGGTATTCAGGCGTGGACTGAGTGACGCAGCTGATTTCCTGGGGAATACAGAAATGCGATGTAGGGCTGCAACTAACGAGTACACACTTAAAGATATTGAGTCAAGAAACCAGAAAATATTTACATTTAAGAAGCCGGAATCAGAGAATCTTCTCTTTAAAAAATGACTCAAACCGAATAATCAATTAGCAAAATAGTTGGAAAGTCATTTAATAGTTGACAACTAATTGATGAATTGCTGCGGATCTAATGTGCGGATCTAATGTGACTTCTATGTGTGACTTCTTTTAAAATAAATATATCCGTACTTTGACAGAATGTACAGAGTACATGAGCCCGTCTGTGTGCGAGAATATGAGACACACTGAGAAAGAAGACGACCCCTCACGTGTCCTAAACAAGTTGTGAAGCATTTCTCACCCAGTCGACGCCAATCCTCAAGTGAATGCCGACGTACGGCCGGGTCAGCAGGGTGCCGATGTGCTTTTCTCCCTCCTCCACCATCTGGTCCGACCAAACCACGTAGCGCTGCAGGCCCACGTGTTCCTCCGTCACTGGGAACTGAGCGGGAGCGCCAGGCATCGCCAGGACAGGGTGCTCCGAGGGAGGGAACCTGATGGAACAGGGGAGACGTGAGGACAATCTGTCTGCTGAAAGGATGGGTTGGATGTTTTATAGTGTGGGTGTATGAGGTACTTTTCCACAGTCAGAGTATTACCTACAGTAGGTGGCGTTTGGAGAAACAGACAGTATTCTTTACGTCATCTTTGATCTTCTTAAATGTGTCTACAGTACAGTGGGGCACTCACGTCTTCATCCACTGATGTTGGTGGTGGGCACTAAAGGAAATACCAGCGAACAAGACAGACGCGTCAAAGTCCACGCCGACGTAGTCCCAGAACGGACCAAACGGGTTCCCGTCCTGAAAGGGAATCAGAACCACCCGTCCGTATCAGAGTAGTGAGACTGTAACTGCATCATCACAGCTATAAGGTCGGGTTATGGGCCACCAGAGGGCAGCATTTCACCCTCACCCCTTTCACACGCAATCACCATTGTTTGTTGACATTTGCTTTTAAATGAAGCATTTTATGCTTCTCTACTTTCACCTTCACTCACTATCTCACATCTGTCGGGAAAGAGAAACGATACATGCACAGACCATGTGAGAATCAAGTTACAATCTACTGAGTTAATCTGCTTCACCGGGCTCTCACCTTCATGGGGCAGGATTTCTTGTCCACACTCCGCTGTGCGGCGGTCTCAAAGCAGTAGGCTTTCCTCTGTCTTGAGGGCCAGTGTTTGGGCGCTAGCTTCTCCATGAAGTCCTCCAAACTGACCACGCGGTGGTAGGCGGACAAGGCCTCCAGCTGGAAGAACTCACTGTAGGGAACGTGGACCTGAAGAGAGCAGGAAAGGAAAATAATAGAGTAGAACAGCATGGTCCCACTCAGGTTTAAAGGGGAGGGCTGGTGATATTCAAAACTGTTGTTGTTGGCAACATTTCTCATGATAAGACCAGAGGTCTGTTTAATACTGTCCATCTTTTCTCACCTAGTGTGTATTTCCAGCAGGTGTATGTGGGACTGACTTGAAATGAACTACATTGTGTTCCTTTAGTCTAGAGCTGCAACAAACAATTATTTTCATTATGGATTAATTTGCTGATTATTTTCCAGGTAAATCGTCCGTCCCAGTTTCTCAAAAGTCCAAGGTGATGTCTTTAAATGTCTTGCTTTCCATTCCATTCCATTCTCCAAACCGCTTATCCTATCCAGGGTTGCTGGAGCCGATCCCAGCTGACATTGGGCAAAGGCAGGGTACACCCTGGACAGGTCGCCAGTTTATCGCAGGGCATGTCTTGCTTTGTCAGTCCAAAATTGTTTTATTCCAATTCATGTCTCATATTTTTCTTATAGTATTTGTTTCACGCCCAGCTCCTTTTCTAAAATGATTCATATGACTTGGCTGCTGTAACGCTGAAAATGGCCCTTTGGAATGAATGAAAAACTCAATCAATCTACCTCATAATCACATTATGCAGTCGCAGTGGGTAACAGGTTATCAGTGACTGTACTCACATTGGCGTAAGGGGGGGTGTGGTGGCGGTACACTATCCAGGGAGGGACCGCGAGGGTTCGGTTCAACATCTTCGCAAAGGCGAGAGATCCCAGGAAGTGATCTGCCTGGTTCCCAAAGCGACCTGAACAGTAACAGCGGGCACTTTATGATCTGTTTCAACAGTAACGTTATACTGCTTCCTCATGACAAGAAAATAGTAACAGTAACTGGAGGGAACGTCGGCTACCTCCGTACCATGAACTAATGAGCAACAGCTGTAGTTATAACCACACTTAAGTTAAGCCCCTAGTTAGTCCTCCGCTCAGTTAGCTGCTAACAAGCTAACACTGTTGCATCTCATCTGACGTTATTGGTCCAATGTTTTTAAAGTTCATATTTTTTTAAACATAAGATCCTCTCTACTGAACTCCGAGCACAGTTCAACGTAGGTCTGGGTTCATATTTTCGAAAACTAATTATGCCGATAAAAAATTCCACTCTGAATTTATGAATGAGTGAAGTTTTTCCGCTAGCTTTGCTCTTTTGGTACATCACAATGTTACATAAACCAACTCCAAAGAATGAATTACCCATGCACGGGCAGTACAAAACGTAGCCGTTCTGATCCCACGTCAGTTCTTCGGCAAAAGTCGGACATGGTTGGAGCAGAAGGTATAAAAGTAAACTCGTTAGTGTAAGAGCATGACGTGCTTGTTGTTTAACCGCCATTGTGGTTGAGTTTACGTCCCAGAATGCACTAGGGTTCAGTCCTCTTCTTCTTTGGGTTTAATGAGGCGTTCAAAACGCGCATCGAATACGTCTACTTCCGCCCACTGTACCGGGGGTGGTACGTCGCGTGAGTGTGGTGGGCTATGTGTGTTGTGTTTTAAGTTTTTTTATTTAGCACAAGGAAAATATTCCAAACACGACAGGGAATTACTATAAAAAGATGAAGGATAGGATTCAATCAACAATGGAGGAAATGATGTAACAACCTAGAGGTAGCGACCATTATTTTGAAAAGAGAAAAAATATCTAATTTTAAAAAAGCAACAAAAAAGAGTGAAACAAAAAGTAGTTATCAAAATTATAAATGACAAAAAATGGAATGTTATCCATCTTTAATAACAGCAAAATAATAATATCAGACAAATTAGCGTATGAACATTTAAAAAATAAATGGTAGATACTTTCAGCCTCTGAAAAACAATGATGCAAGAATTTGCTTCAAATTTAAAGAGCGTGGTATATGTATGGTACTTTGCATCAATTGTTTTATCAATGAACCCTGAGCACTAAAATGTAGCTATTATTATTACCTACTGGTATCACTACTTGTTTGTTCAGCTTTTTGTTGCTTTCTTCTACTTTCTCCATGTAACAGGTTGTCCAGTGTTTGTCATTCAGCGCATTGCAACAGTGCAACTACCGAAGAATTGAGTGGTTTTATATTTGTATAGGTTGCAATAGAACAGGATGGTCTTTAAAACCTCTGCTAACCTGGTTTCAAATCTTAAATATTTGTCTATAACATTGAATATTAGTCACTAAATAAGTAACATTGAAAGTTAAAGTTGGGATAAAACCCTACAGCAATGTGATGGGTGGAAAACAGCAGACATCTAAAAGTGATCCACATGATCATGTCAGAGATGCATCTTCATTCATTGAAGAACTCACATTGATTTCAGTAGTGCCATTTGCTAAATATTCCCTAAAAAAGTCAAGCTCATCTCCATCATGGCTATCTTTTAGTTCTTTTTTTTCATAACAAAATGAAAAAACGAAATTACAAATTTTTTAAAAACTATTCAGTTCGGTTAAATTAATCATTTTTCTTTATTTTTTAGACTACTTTTTGTCCTCTAGATCTGTCAACAGGGATGACTATAGGATGGCTTTTTCATCTATGAAAGGGTATTACCATCAGAGATGGAAAATGCAGCCGAGCTACAAGTCGCTAGATGATCTAACTCTGGTATCTGTGTTCATGTACAGAACGTCAAACACCATGAAGTATGGAAGCCCATTTCCACAGCAAAAAAATAATTTCATAATTCAAAAGAGTAAAAACAACAAGAGAACATGGAGGTGTCCTCGTAAAAGCCCTCAATCAATTTTAAATACACACTCATCTGTGTTTATTATATGACAGCCATTTACATGAGTTACTATTGGCAACCACGGACGCATTCGGCCGATAGTCATCAGTTAACCCGGTCACTCTTTGACCTGAAACACCTGTTGCTCTGAAACAGTCGTGATCCTGTATTCTGAATCCTCTAGAACTTGAGTCCACTGTTGGAATATCAACTCTGACAACCGAACGTGCAACAACCAGACATTTTGATGCTGAGAACAGTTTTAATTTAAAGCACGCTAACTTCGTCTGGATGGCTAAGGCAAAACATGCACTCGCAACATCGGTCACGTCATATCTCGGTAACGATATATATCACGATGTAGCATATTTTTCTGGTAATCCGATAAATAAATAGTCCATATGAAATAATCACATGGTTTCGTACACTCTTGTGTGAATGAAATGCTTGAAAAATGAAAAGTACTTCCTCAAGTGTTTAAGAATCTGAGTCACTATGCTGGTTATTATTGATGTGGACTACGTAATTGTGTCACGATATCTCAATATATGATTTCATCGTGATACGATTCCATTGAAGGACGACAGATTATCATATTGAATTATCGCCCGGCCACTAATACAGACATTAGACCTTCCTACTTTGCCTCGGGATTCCCCATCTGGAAAAGCGACCAGAGCTGATGATAAAGGAGCAATCCTCCTCATACGGCACTCACTGTGTGCTCAACATGCCCAAACCCAGCATGCAACATGTGGCCTGGGTGCGGCCTCCGACTCTCTGCCAGCCTGCCTGGTTCGTCTGAACAGAGCAATAATTGCTTAAACGTGTCACATTGAAGAGATCATTTATCTGCTGCGGAGGCTCCGGGTTATGCGGCCGCTACGATCTGCCGGCAAGTTCTAGTTCATTATCGCTCCAAGGACAACCGGAAGTCGATGGTGATAACAGAATGTTACGATCTAACAAATAACACGTGGGGAAAAAGTGAAAAGGGTGCTTCTTAAGGCCTGTGGAGATAATTTTTCTCAATTCAAACCATAACCCGTGACTTTTTTTTTGGTTGTTGTTGCCAGTTCTTCACAATGAGCATTTGGAGACGTTCTTCTACTTGGGCCCTTTTTGCTTTGAAGGATTCCCTAATCCCTCCACATCCTCCGGTTCAGCCAACCCCGTCAGACGTATTCTCTCTCTTTGTGTTCGATCACTTTTTCTTTTCTCTCCGATGCTTGACAGCTGGCCGCTCTCTCTCTCTCTCTCTCTCTCTCTCTCTCTCTCTCTCTCTCTCTCCCCTTCTCTTCCTGTGTCGTTCCCCCTCTCCTCCCCCATCCCTTGAACGCACACTGTTTCTCATTGTTGGAGATGACAGTGATGATAACAATGCAAAAGGAGAAACAACTCACAGCGCGGGGGTGTAGGAGGAGAAGACCAGGAGGTTGGGCGGCGGGGGGGGGCTTCTTTCAGGTGAACAAATAACAAAATGCACATTGTAATTTATTGAATTCTCCCTATTGTTATTGGATATTTATGTCGTATATATGGAGTCTGAATGGTAGTAAATTATCTTATTATACAGGGTGAAGGTTTTTTAGGCAGATCTCTGACTCACAGTCCTGTGTTCTAACAATCTCATTTCCCTTTTTCGATCTATAAGTTCCTCACACACATAACACTTTACTTTAGGAAGCTCCCCCCCCCCTCTCGACTTTGTGCCTATGTGGCCTTTCGGGAGAGGGAAATAAGGTAGTCAACCTCAAACAACCCGCCTCCTGTTGACCTTTCTGTGTTGTTACAGACAACCTGGCTTTCAGCTGGTGTGATTTCCCAGCGTGCAGACACCAAACTTATCTAATGTTGAATCCCCCTAAACTGCAGTTTAGGGCCGAATAGGCCCATAAAATGAAATAAACGTCAGTAAAGACTTTTTTCCCCAAAGGTAATGAAAACTCAATCTGACATGAAACTAACAAAAAAGTTAAAATGCATTGGAGATGTTTAGAAAACTACCCCAAAAACTCTGTTGACAAAATGCTTTTTTCATTCTCAGCTAACATCAAAGGGTCCCTGAGTGACAAGTAACAAAAAAGTAACAAAACTCCTTTCGGCTGGAAGGTTTTATTAAGATCTAGAGGTGTTAGGAGAGCTGTAGCCCAAAGTAACTGTTTTTAGTTCCAGTTTTCCTTTCAGCGAGGCTCCCCGGTGTGTGTTCGAGATGCCTCAGTGACAAGGAGAAAAAGATTCTAACATGGAAATAAACAAAACTCATTCAGGCTCTAAAGATTTATATAGATTCAGGGATGTTGAGAACTAGTCTAAATGAACAAAACACCAGTTCTAGTTTTAGTTCTGGTTGGGATCTCACAGTGGAAGCAGTGTCCCTTAGTGATAACAACTGAATCAAACATAAAACTAACAAATGGGTATCCAAATGTAGCTGTGAAGATTGAATTTGATTACTCTGTTGACAATAAAATTACGTTATATTTTTTATTTTCAGGTTCCCCCTTTGGCAGCAGTGGGCCTCAGTCACGTAGATAAACCCTGACTGTAATGTAAAAGCAACAAGAAGTAACCACATCTAATTTGGCTCTAAATTAATTTACATTAGGTTTTCAGAAAACAGTCAAAATGATGCAAGAATCTGTTGAATCAATTTTTATTTGTCCTCCCAGTTAGGAGCCCTTGTTTGGTTGCTGTGTGTCTGAATGGCAAACTGGATCCAACATAAAAGTAACAAATAAGCAAAAAAACACGTTTTGGAGATTAAGATTTAGTCACATTAGGCGGTAGCCAAAACCAACCAAAATGTTCATTTTTATTTGTCCTCTCAGGATCCCCTTTTGGCAGCAGCATGCCTTGGTGACGGGAATTTAAAAAGATTCTAAAGATTTATTTGGGCCTATATTTAGATGTGTTATGAAAACTAACCAAACTCATGTTGACAAAATGCGTGCCATTAACTTCTTAGCTAGAATCCCCCTTCGCCGGATGTGTTCCACCCATCTACCTTATCAACCTGCTGCAGACCGCCGGTGCCGGCTGTCTGCGACCTGATACCCCACCTCATCACAGAACAGTCCGTCTCAGCTGAGATAGACTTCCCCACCTCCCGCTCTGGGCTACTCACAAACCATCACACGCCAGAGGCTCGATGGTTTTATCACACCAACAGGAGGCGAGGAGGGGTGTCATCCGCATGTTGTGTAACATTTGTGTTTCTGGCAGTACTCATATATTGATTTTTAGAGCATGAGAGGTGAATTATGACCACCCCACCACACCTCCAAAAAATAACAATAAAAAGATAAGTTACACCCAAAACAATCCTGGCTGAAGCCAAGATTCTTTAAAAGTTTTAAAAGTTGAAGTCAAAGTGCTTTTATTGTCATTACCTCTGAAAAACAGTGCCTATAATAACAATATACAACATGCACTTTAAAAGAAATAGCAGCAATTTTATATCAGCCTATGAACCAAACAGGATGAGACCCAGGCTCATTAACACGGACGAGAATATTTCTACACAGATACTGAAAGAAATACGGAGCAAAACAAATGGAGACAGCATCAAAATAACATATTAGCAGTCATCATTGCATATCTGTATATGACAAAAATACCAAAGAAAGTAAG